GGCGGGCGCGGACGTAGGAGAACCAGGGAGCGGCGTGTGCTTGGGGAACACGGTGAGTATTTCGCTCGCCCGCGTGAGCTCGCGCATCTCGTCCCGCTCGCGCTGCCCAAAGTCGACCGTGTTCGGCGCGGTCGTAGCGTCCGCGTGGGGGTCGATGGGGACCGCCACGGGGGCGTCGGAGGGGTTGGTGTGTGGGTCCACAGGGGGGAGGTCCTCCCCATCGACGTCCATGCTCTCCTCCACGCCTTTGGGCAAGCCGACACCAACGCCGCGCCGCTCACTGCCGTCGAAGACGCGCATCATCAGCTCGGGCACGACGTCGCGCAGCGCACGCGCGTCGGCGTCTAGTACGAAGACGTTGTACTCGAGTGGCGCGTCGGGGGAGGGTGTGGACGGGTCTGAAGGTCGAAATCAGCCTTGCTCTTGTCACAAACGAAGATAGACGTACCAATCCCCAAAGCAGCACACCTCTCGCGCCGCTTCCGCGCCACCGCGCTGACGAAGCGCGCGGCGAGCGCGTGGAGCCCGGGCGAGGACATCCCGCGCGGGGAGTAGAGCACGATATCGGAGAGCGTGGCGTAGATCGGCTGCAAGGAAGAACGAAGGCGTCAGCATTTGTTACGCCAATGAAAGGAGTGGTTGTGCGAAGCCCCAAAGAAGAGCTGCGTCTTCTTCGAATGCCACAAAGAAGAAGAAAAGAGATACTCACAACCTGAATCCCGAAATTCCTCAACGAAATCCCATCCGGCACACGCGCCGGGCGGAACTCCCACTCCTCCTCCTTCTCCTCATTTCCCTCCGTCCCCTCTCCACCCTCGGTGGTGGCACCGGCACCGGGAGCGGGAGAGGCGGCAGGGTGCAGCGCGGGGGCGTGCATGAGGTGCGGGCGTTGCTAAAGGGGAAAAAGATCAGTCCGGAGACTTAACAAAAAGAAACAAAAACAAAGCAGGAAAAGAAGAAGGAACGGAAAGGAAAGGAGTGCTGCGCCCGACCCGACGCAAAAGCGACAAATCGTTGAAAGAATGAAGGGAACGGAACGACGCTATCACATCCCAATCACCCCAAAAGAGCCTCCCGACGCCCACTCCGAGGAGAAAGAAGACAAAAATCGCCGCCCTGCGCTTAAGTGGAAAGAAAGACAAGGAAAGTTCCCCGCCCCAGCCCCTCCCGTGCAAAGCAAGAACAAAAGCCTCCTCTCTCCAAAAAACCTTCTCACCATCCCCAAGAAGCACACTCAAGACCCGAACTCCCCAACGCCCTCCCCTCCCCTCCCCTCCCTCTCTTCACCCCCTCCCTCACCCCAAACGCGAAAAAAAAAAATTTTGGAACGAAAAAGACTCACCGGCCCCTCCCCAACCCGCCTAACCAACTCCCGCGCACGGAACGTACACGTCAACAACGGCGGCCGCGTCGGGTGCCACTCTTCTTGCTCTTGTTGCTCTTCTGCCTTTGTTTCATTTTGCTCCCCTGGCTCGAGGGACTCCTTTTGCTCCCCTTCGTTCTGCTGATTTTGATTTTGCGCCTCCTTCGCCACAGACGCAAGCATGGGATTTTGCGCGTCTCCAGCGCCGTTCGCCACAGAAGGGGGAGGCAGAGCGGAGCCGTTCTGCGCCGTCGAGTCGAGGAGGGAGGGGGCGGAGTACGAGGAGGCGGAGGTGTCGGAGCCGGAGGCTGAGGCGGAGGTGGGGGTTGCGGAGGGGAGGGAGCTGGGTCAAAGAAAGAAGGTGTTAGGCAAACGAAACGAGAATGAGCAGAGGGAGAAGGAAGATGAAGATGAGAGAGGAAGGAGGAAAAAAGATGCGGGCATGACGACGACGACGGAGACGAGAATGCGCTCAGCATTGAAACAAAAAAAGCGAACGCAAAAAACGCGAACGAGTGCCTCGTCACACGCCCAATGCCTCGCCTCGCCTCGCCCCCTTGCTCCATCAAGCCCCGCACCACTCAGAACAGAAGAGCGGAGGAAACAAAGCGATAACAAAAGCGAAAAACAAAACGAAGGGGAAAGCCCGCGACGCGACCCGCACGCAGAAAGAAACCAGACAACGAAAGAACAAAAGAAGCGGCGTCCCTGTCTCGCACCGCCGAAAAGAAAGAAACCCGAGAAGGAAAGAAGGTGAACAAAAAAACACCACAATGCAGTCGCGGGTGCGGAACGGAGCGGAGCCAAAGGGCAGCGCATGCGATAACTATGCGATAGAGGCGGAGCCAAATCGCAATCGCCAGATGAATGGGCACGCGACACGAGCACGATTGAGCGCCGCTCTACACCCCTGCGTTGTGCCTCATCCTTTGCGGGGGGGCACGCCTCGCCCTCCCGCGACGATGGAAATTCCGACGGCTGCACCTCCTTCGAAAGATGAGACGGAACCAAAATCATCTGAGCACGCGAGCACGACCAGTAAGGAGCCGCTCTACGCCCCTAGCGCCGCGTTGCACCTCGCTGCACCGCTGCACCAGCCAGCCAGCTGCGGCAAGACGAGCTCTAACCCCCGCGAGATGAAATGCTCCGGTCGCACATCCTTCGAAAGGTGGAACGGAACGAAAATAATCTGAGCACGCGACGCAAGGACGCGAATGGCCGCTCTACGCCCACAGGTCGTGCCTCGCCAAAACACCTCGCCCTCCCGCCGTGCGCCCCTCCCGCCATGGAAATGCACCCCCATCCCGTGAAGACGGAGATGGAGACGGAGAAAAGCCCCTCGTCCGCCGCCCGATAGCAGGAAGTAGAGCGTGCGTCCCGTCGCACCTCCCCTTGGATACCACAACAGAAGGCAGAAACGAAGAAGCCACAACCACAAGCCAGATAGATGGCAGAAGGCAGAAGGCAAAAGGGCGGCCAGAACCATGCAAGCGAAGCGAGGCGAGGGAAGCGAGGAGTGACAGGGGCACAGAGGCACGACCTCGATAACGGCGGCGAGAGTGGACACCGACAGGAGGCAAAGGAAGAACGAGAAAGACGAGATGCGGACGCGAGGTGTCCAAGCAACCCAGGGAGTTGGAGAGAGAGCAGAGAACCGGAAGAGAGAGAACATGAGTAGAAACAGATAGGGAGCCACTCACCCCTCGACATCCATAGACACGGTCATATCCATCTGCACATCCGCGTCGCCGGTGGGCGGCGTGAAGAAGCGCTCGCTGTCGTCGCTGCCGTCCATAATGTTGGGGGTCCCGAGGGGAAGCCCGCCCGTGCGCAGGTGCACGGGGTGCATATGCTTGCCCGCGTCGTGATCTTGCTCTTGCTGCTGATGCTCGTCCCCGCCGCTCGCAATGCTAACCCCCGGCACCGGCCCATCCACCTCCATCTCGAGCTCAAGCTCATCCTCCTCGCTCTCCTCCTCGCTCTCGTCCTCGTCGTCGTCGAACTCGTGGTCCTGGTCCTGGTCGTCCATACCGGCGTGGGCGGCGCCCGCGAAGGCCGGGCTGGCGACGTGCACGTCCAGGTCCTCCTCCACCACGACCCACACAAGCCCGCGGAAGCGCGGCGCCCCCGCCCTTTCGCGCTTCCCCCTCTCCCTCGCACCCGGCTCATGCCGCTGGCTGCGCGCGGTGCCCGCGAAGAACGTGTTCTGCGCCTCGTTGTCGCCTTCGAGCCCGTGCAGGAACGGGAAGAGCACGCCGTCCGGCGCGTGCGCGAGCGTGTGCCGCATGTGCATCGCTGCGAACTCGGGCGCGCTGAGCACCTTTGCTGCGGGGACGCTAGGCAAAGGCGGAAGACTAGGTAAGAGGGTTGGGGGGTGGATGAGGCCTGCGTCGGCGTCGACAAAGCCGTTCTGCATGCTTGCGGTATTGCTGTCGATGGGTGTTGGGATGGGTGTGGAGGCAGAGGGGTGTACAGCTATAGACAAGGCGTCGTCGTCCATGTCGTCGGCGGGGTCGTCGTGGTCGTCGTCTCAGACAGCGAGCAAGGGCTGCAGCTCGTCGTCGTCGTCGTCGTTGGATAGGTCGTTGGACTGACGGCACTTTGGTAAGTGCGAATTCCCTTTCTCGGTATAGCACTTCCCTCCGCTGATCCCATCAAGCGCCTCGTGCCTTCAATTCCGGTCAATCACCGCACAAGATAGGGGCACATCAGACTTCGAATTCATTGTTGTTATACTTAGAAGTCTGAGAAGCCTTGAAGACCCGCGACGGGAACCGCCTTGGTTCGATATGATACATTCGAGGAGATGTCTTGGGAGCCAAGGTAGGCCAAGGTCTCACCAAGGCTAAACCCTCCTCCCGACGAGGGGAGATCCAAGCAAGTCTCCAAGACAATTGAAATCGGGGGTACAAACTTAAACCGTTCAAAGGGCTAGCCCCTGCTTCCATCAGACTCATGAAGCCTTCTTTCCGCTCCACCTTCCCATTCGGGCGGACCTTCTACCTCCGTGTGAGTCCGCGTCCGCAGTCATTCGTTCATCAAATCAACTAAGTTGCGTCCGTGTCAATTCCGTCTGTCAATCAAAAAGTCTGTTGCTACCTTTTGACTGTCCGAATGAATGGATGTACCGCTCCTTCGCACCGCACCAAGAATACCTTGGATAAATATCTTGGAAGTGAAGTGAGAACAACCGAAGAACGCCAATGGTGCGATGTCGGGATGTCGGGATGTCGGGATGTTATAATTACTGAGGACTCCGAGACCGGAAAGGGGTGATGGGAACGGAAGAAGAAACAGACAGGAGACCCGCCGTCTGTCAAACGAAATTCGGAGAAACCATTAGCAGCCTGTAATCCAGGACCGTAACGAGGCAGGGAAAGCTCGCTGGTGGAGGGTCCACATCTGCTTTCAGTAAAAAAGTTGTGTTACATTCTATGCAGAGATTGCCTGATCGACTCGGGCCCGAGCTATGAACGCTTGCAAGTGTCACTTTTTGTTTTTTTGAAGGCATTCATATCCTACTGATTTCGAGCCCGCACCAGTTATTCGCCCCCTCTACATCAATTCTCTCTCTACTACATGAAATTCCCTCCTCAAATGGTTGATGGTTTATTCAAGCACAAATCAAGGCTATGAAGGCTCGGTAGTGGGTGGTCCACATCTGCATGTGATGCTTCGAGATGCCACAGTTTATGCAGACAATGCCTGTTCGACCCAGGCCCGAGCCATGAACAAACGGCGTGACAAGCCACTGGCAACCATATTTTTCTTCGGAACTTCTCTGCGAAAGATTGATGGCTTATTTGGGCACAGTGTGGACCTAGAAGGGTTTGGTAGTGCACGGTCCACGTCTACATCCAATGGTGTCATTGTGGCGAGATTTATGCAGAGAATGCCTGTTCAACTCGGGCCCGAGCTATGATCATCAATGTGTGCACCTTTTTATCCGCTAATTCTCTGCAAGACTTCCAGGGTTATTGAAGGGCAGAACAAGGCTAGAAAGGCTCGGTAGTGGGTGGTCCACATCTGCATTTGATAAGTTGCCAATGAAAAATATGCAGAGATTGCCTGTTCGACCCAGGCCCGAGCGATGGGTTGCCCTTGTATACCTTTTTACTTGCTGATTCTCTGTAAAATCTCAGGCTCATTCAAGCCCCAGGAAAGGGTAGAAAGGCTCGGTGGTGGGTGGCCCACATCTGCAACTAATAGCCCATTTGGAAGCAGTCTATGCAGAGATTGCCTGTTCGACTCAGGCCCGAGCCATGTGTCGGAAAAAACTCAAATGACTTGCAACGTCTCCAGACACCTTGCAAGATGTTGCAAGGTCATTTGGTTTTAGGCGGCTTGCAGCGCAAATGTTAGGTTCTTGGAAGCACTTCCAAGCCACCTGCATGGATCTCAAGGCCTCCTAAGGCTACTCGTGCCAAATGGCCTTGCGGCGCGTCACAAGGTGTCGGAATCCGCCTAGTTATTCACAAGGCAAAAGCGCGGTAATGCTGCGTTCAGTATTCCATCTTCACATCGGGCATACGATATAGTGTAAAATGTATATTCAATTGTATAGATACACGACTATACAACAGTTGCGACAGTGTCAGTGTGCCATAGGTGCACAAGAGCGGAGTGGAGGGAGGGAGATGGAGGGATACGATGTCTTACTCACCTTGAAACATATACCCTCGCGCTGGCCCGTCGCTGGGTTCGGACTGTTCCGTGCGTTAGTAAGAGCCGGGGGACGACGGAGTAGATCATCGCGTACCTGGGGACCACGACGTACACCCACACATATGAGGGCAAGTCAGCTACGAGGAAAGTGGGTACAGGGAGAGCCCAACCTCCAAGGAGTAAACGACCTGCGCCAACGAAGCGTGGGTTACAGGGCAAGACAGATGAGTGCGAGGAGGAAGGCGGTATGAAGGACGGGCTGGCGGTGCGTCGGACGCGATGGTGTGGGCAGATATCGAGGGGGGGCAGGTTAGTGGATGCGGAAAGACAACCTGATAGAGTCCGCACCTCAGCAAATATCCCGTCTCCCAACTGTCTCCACACGCGCGCCGCGGCGTCAGAGTCCGTGGATACTCGAGGGGGATGGCGGAATCGGATGCGATGACGGGGAGGCAATGGCGGCGACGGCGGCGACATGACCGCCGGCATCGCCCGGGCCGCTTATCGCTCTTGCGGACTCCCGCTCCCGACTCACCCCTCCATCCATCGTGTTTAGGCATGGGTCCGAAACGAGTTGGAGAACAATGCCCGGAAGACAAGAAGGATAATGTTTTGTGTCTTTGCCGCTGCTATGACTGCAAAGGACAGAATTGGGAGACTAAAGACAGAGAAATGCGAAGGGGCAAATGGATTCACAAGAGCACGGCATCCGACATCGAGACACAGAGCGAAGGACACCAAAATGGAGCAGGAAGGTGCCCTACCTCCGGTAAGATCTGTGTTGTCTTCCTCCCTCGATTAATAATATCCTCATAGGTTCCGACGATCGTTTCTACCGCTGCAGCGGTGACCCCTGCAGCACCCATAGCCCCAGCGGGCAAAAACGGCGGGGGTGCGGAGTATTAGCGCGAGTGGTGGTGGTTTGGCTTGGGTTTGGCTTGGGCTTGGAATCCAAACATGGACATACACAGGCGCGAGATGCCAGTCTTATCTTCCCGGACCAAATCCCAGCCCAATTTGAGACGCAAAATATATTTCCCTGGCCGAGAAATAATAAAAAGAGCGTGACCGTCACAACGACGAAAATAGCACAAAGCGCAATTGTCAATCAAATGACAGTTGCATGACAAACGGCAAATGACACCTCATTGTCCGCCGTGACTTCGATTACTCAAACCCACCCTACCCCGACACCAATGCCTCCGCGTCGAAAGCCTCCTCGTCGCGCGCACTCGCCCACGACACATGTGTCAGATTCGGAACCCGAGCGGGAAGCTTTTGCTATGTCCATTTTTTTAGGGAAACAAGGCATGCACTATATTATTGACTGTGTTGACGACGACATGTATCTACATGTAAATAACATCGACTGAATGGATATTGTACGCGAGATATCGTGAAATTAACCCACCACTGTTGCAAGTCGGCTCAAGTCGTTCCAAGTCCTGCGTGCCTTGCCACGCCTTGAGACTCCTTCTCGGTTGCCCCCTTGGCTTGCCGTGGCTTGTAAGTGCTTGGAAGGTTTGGCTGGGCGACTTGCAAGTGCTCACAAGGTGTTCCAAGGTCTCAAGCTGATTCAAGCCCTTCCAAGGCATTTGGCTTTTTTCCGACATGGGTGGTGTCTCTCTACACGTTTTTATTCGCTGATTCTCTGTAGAATCTCAGGCTTATTCAACCCCTGTAGAAAAGGCTCGGTGGTGGGCAGTCCACATCTGCTTTCGATATTTCTTGTTATTGGATGTATGCAGATGAGCCTGTTCGATTCAGGCCCCAGCCATGCACGGGTAACTTGAGAATATATATATTTTTTGCTTAACTCACGAAGATTCTCGGTAAAGCCCTACACTTATTCGAGTGAGTGACACGGCTACAAAAGGCTCGGTGGTGGACGGTCCACATCTGTATTCTATGCTTCCGTGGTGTGGAACTCCGAACTGTTTGTGCAGACAACACCTGTTCGACTCAGGCCCGGTGTTATGAAAAGTCTCTCTGTACCTTTTTATTTGCTGATTCTCTCCAAGTATGCAAGAGCTTATTTAACCTCTGGGAAAGGGTAGAGAAGGCTCGGTGGTGGGTGGTCCACATCTGCATTCTATGCGCTTCGTCGTGTAGATGCAATTTATGCAGACAAGGCCTGTTCGACTCGGACCCGAGCCATCGGTGTTTCTCTCGTCACTTTTTTAGTCGCTGATTCTCTGTAGAATCTCAGGCTTATTCAAGCGCAAAACCAGGTTTTAAAGGCTCGGTGGTGGATGGTCCAAATCTGCTTTCGATTGTTTCTTGTTGTCGGATTTATGCAGACAATCCCTGTTCGATTCAGGCCCGAGCCATGGGAAGTCAAGCAAGGTTCTTTTTTTATGCATTCGCTTTCTCTTTCAAGTTCACGGCTTATTCAACCACACACCATGACCAGAAGGGTTCGGTGGTGAGTGATCCACATCTGTAGTTGAGTATCTCTTCGTGACTGAAATTGATGCAGAGAAAGTCTGTTCGACTCAGGCCCGAGCCGTCAGATTTAATCTCAGATTCTTTTTGCAAATTCTCAGTGCAAGTCAGAGTATTCAACCACAGAACAAAGCAAGACAGGGCTCCGTAGTGGGTTGTCCACATCTGCATTCAATTAATCCCTCTGCTAACAATTTATGCAGAGAATGCCTGTTCGACTCAGGCCCGAGCCATTGCGTGGTCCTTGCATTTTTTTCCCGTTCAAACTCGGAACTGGACTGGTTTTGGAGCCATCGAATCCGGTGAGTAGCAACTCTGATATGAAAGAGTAGAAGAACAAGCCTGGTTGGCCTACACACAGTTGAAGCTGTACAGAAGAGGTTTCGAAAGTTGCATATGAGATACGGATCAAGTTTCGCTGCAACCTGGTGCAATAAAAATGGATGCCGGACCCAATGAGTCGGGAATGAGGATGCTCGACTATTCACACAGTGTCTATCTTAGGTGCGATGGACGCCGTGAATTGAGTCCGACGGGGGTTCAATCAGTCCCCAAGATCCGCGTGCATCCACACCCCACCCTGCGGCTTTCACTCAGCAAACAGCGCACAGATACAGACACGCGACATACCTTACTGTGCAACGTGAAAGCAATTGCAGGGAAAATCTTCTCTATCCCTTGACGGCCCGGCTTCCCTGCCCACTCCTTGGGCGGCAACGACCCAGCAGGCTGGAATTCCGATGCCAACCTGAACGACTTGAACCGCTGTAGCAGCTTCATGACGAAAAACCCGGCCTCGTTCAACGCGAATTCTTGGCCGATGCACTGTCATTCCGCCCATCTCATTATTAGGAGCATACACAATGGGAATGAAGGACGCACGACGCGTGGTCCGCCTGAAAAGGGACAGTACATGAACGGCGTCGCGTTCACTTTGGCGTTTGTCGCGGGATCAAGCCATCGTTCCGGCACAAACTCGTCCGCGTCCTCGCCCCAGAGGTCGTGGCGCCGGTGCAGAAGCAGCGAGGCCATCATGACTTGTGTTTTGGGCGGGAAGTATAGAGTCTGCTGGTTAGCTATCGGGATGACGAGAGGAGTGTTGAGCGAAGTTCGCGCAATAAGAGCGGCGCTTGGGAAGAGTCGTAAGGTTTCGTTAAGAACGGCACGCACTATAAAATATAGATACAAAATCAATGTGGAACTGGTCGCGCGTGAGACTGGTAGTGACTCACGGTACTTCATGTTTCTAAGAATCTCGTACGTTGGGGATTTATCTGGGCCGAGAGCATCGAGGATTTCGGTTCGGAGGCGTTCACATACGGCAGGATACATCGCAAAGAAATATAGGACAAAGGTTAGTAGGCTGGCAGTCTATACAAAAATAAGCCGAGGTATCAGTATAGCAATGACGAGGATCGAAACGCTCACAGTATCTCTCGACGCGATCAAATAGGTGATCAGCTCATAGCGTATGTGTTCCACATCTACATAGAAAGGAATCAGATTTTATACAAAAAGGAACGGAAAAAAAGACAGACTCACCGTCCGTTTTTGATGCAAGAAAATCGAGAAAGACGTCCTCATCGGCAGAGGTTTCAATGCCCGCTCTCTTCCTGCTGTCTCTTTCGGTCAAAGCTCGCACAACAACCGGCTCTAGCCAGTTCATTATAGTCGCAATGCACTCCTCCGTCTTATCCTCGAATAGTTCCAAGAGCGGCCAGGTATCCCCTTGCGTCCCGCGGCGCGTGATAATGACCGCAACGCGTTCAAAAGCCTCCGTAAACGCGTCGAACTCAGTCGCGCCGTCAATCGGGACCGATCCCTTAGAGCCAAGTTTGACTTTCCCGGGAACGGTGAGGGGCTGGGCAAGGGTGTCGAGCTTCATCCCAAAGAGGAACTCGGAGGCAGAATCAAGTGTAAACCGAAAGAGAAGGTCCTGGATATCGATTGGGAAATTTTCGCGCGACCGAGCCGCGATGAGGTCCAACGTCGTCGCACTAGTGCGTTCAAAGATTTCAAAGTCAGAAATTCGCTCCTTGGCGAAGAATGGCCGCGCCATGGCACGTCCCTATACAGTGTCAGTGAATGCGAAGCAAGCTCGCTGGGAAGCTGACCGTTTTCCACAGTTCACCCTCTCTGTACATGATTCGAAC